TCTGCCTCATTTCTGTTGTGCTCTTTTTCCATCATTAGTTGTCTGTCTTCTTCATTTTGCTTTCTGTTCCATTCATTGGGGCCTCTCAGCCACAGTTCCTGATATATTAGTGCTTTTCTCTCTCTTTTGAATGTCCTGCAGTATTCTCTGTAGAGTTGGATCGGTGGTTGCAAATTCTTCCAGTTCCTTTTGATCTTATAAGCATCTTGTTTCTCCATTAATTTCTAGGGACAGTTGTGCAGGATAGATCAACCTTGGCTGGAGGTTATTTTCTTTCAAGGCTTGGATTATTTCGCCCCACACTCTTCTAGATTTGATGGTTTGTGCCGAGCAGTCTGACGTAATTCTGATGGGCTTTCCCTTGTAAGTGATCTGTTTCTTGTCTCTCACAGCTTTTAATATTCTGTTCTTATATTGGATTTCTGGAATCTTGATCATTATATGCCTGGGTGTAGTTCTGTTTTGATTGTAGGTGGCTGGAGTTCTGTATGCCTCATATATCTGAGTATCTTTTCTGTTTCCTTAAGTTTTCCTTAATTATTTTTGTGAATAGCCTTTGCAGTTCCTTTGTTTGTACTGCTGCTTCTTCACTCACATTCTTTTTTCTTGAGTTATAGATCTTCTTGTCGTCTAGCCTTTGTATTGTTACTGCTTGTTTCTTTGTTATTTTTAAGAAATTTTTCCTTTCATGTTATTTTTAAGAAATTTTTCCTTTCATGTTCCCACATTGCAAACCTGTCCTCCACTTTTGATAGTCTATCCTTAGTTTCTGTCAAGGAGTTTTGCCAGTTTTCAATGGAGTCTTTAATTTCCTGGTAATCTCTTTGAACCTGCTTCTTGTATTCTGTTTTCTCTATTTCCTCCATCAAACAATTCTCACCATTTTTTTGTTCTTCCATTCTTCCATCTGTTTTTTCTTGGAAGGTGCTTAGCATTTCTTTAACTATTCTACTTATATCTTGCTTTACTTGGTTAAATACTTCACTTTTGAACTCATCTATGAGGTCCCAAAGATATAGTTTTATGTCTATTGGTGCCTTGTCTGATATTTCATGTTTGCTGTCCTCTTTCTCTTTTTCATTTACCTTTCTTGGATCAGTGTTCTCAGGATTGGGGACTGAGGACCCTTTCTTGTTGCTCCCTCTCTTCCCATACTTTTTGTTCCTTCATATATAGGAGTCCCAGTTTCCTTCTTTGTTGGTTACAGTTTGTTTCAATCTCGCAGGCTAGGTGTTCCCGCCCACTGCAGTGTACTAAGGAGACACAGACCTAGGCAGCCTCTCCTGGGTCTGCCCCTCCAGGTCAGTCAACCTGCTGAAGGTCTCACTGCATTAGGGTGCACTGCCAGCGGTAGGGACTTGATTTGGGCTACCCTATGTTTCTTAGTCCATGGCGTTACCCAGGTCGAGTGCACCCCACCAATCCCACTTGAGAATGGAGTAGCTGGCTGAAGTCACTGCTGCTATTTGTTCTAGCCTATCTTCTCCATCCCAGAATATCATCTGTTGGAGCTCCCCCTTCTATATGGAAGTGATTTTATTCTGCTCACTCACTGCAAGTCGATGCAGGGTTCCCTGCCAGCTCTGCTCACAATTCAGTTCACCAACTCCCGCCCTCAGTGCAAATGCCTCTCCAGTGTGTTGAATCTGGTGGGCCATCCCAGCTGTGCCAGTTCAAACACAGCAGCAGCAGTGAGTCCAAGCAGGGAGTTCAAGTGGCAGCACTGAGACTGTAGCTGTTCCAGTCGTATCACTGGAACTGTACTTTTAATTGGTTTTTCTCAGCTTAATTTGTTCCTGGGTTGGGAAGTTCTATCTCCTTCTGTTTGGGACTCCCCACGCTGTATTATTTTTGGATTCTAAGTTGACTATTTCAGAGAGCCTCTGTTGCTTGCTATTATCTATCCACCATCTTCAGGACCCTCCTCACAAGACAGGTTTTTATCATAGACCCTGAGGATTATTTGCAAATATATTTTGAAATTAGACTGTTAGTGCAAGGCAAATAGTAAGTATCATGATACGAGGAGCCCTGTTATTGTGTCAATAATTATTTCAAAGAATTCAAGTAATAAAGTGACAACAAATTAGCAGAACTCTATTACACACAGGCTTAGGGAGAGGGAAAAACACAGTAACAGAATGTGTGTGTGTGTTTAACCCAAAGTAGATCACTTCTAGGAAACCGCTGATGAAAGGCCTTGGACTATGTCCACCCAAGAGAGGGGCATGAAAACTGAAATCCTGAAGAAAGACAACTGAAGTACTGTTGAGTTCCCTTGTGGTGTACACTTAGGATAAATTTCCTTTTGCCTAAAGTAGAAAAATTTAGAGATCTTTTTAGGAGGTTCTGTCAGTTCATCATTAGGAATATATTAAAGTATACAGAGGTAAAAGCAAGCGGAGAGTTTTAAATTATAAATGTGATTATGTTACTCTCTTGTTCACTCTTTCCAGTGAGTTCTAATCACTCTTTAAATCCAACCTAAAAACTCACAATCTTGAGCCAACATGGCCCTCTGTGATTATTTAATTCTCTCAATTTTGTAACCTCACATCCTGCTGTTTGTATACCTTGCTCCAACAGCACTCTTCTAGCCATTTCTAGAACATGCCACACTCATTCTCATCTCAGATTGCCTGTTCCCTTGGTCCTTTGGAATGATCTTCTCCAGGAAGTTTCACAAAGTATACTCACTCACTACATTAATGTCTCTACTGAAACACTACTTAGGTGCAGCTGCCTCTGGTTGCTATGAATAAAATTAGCCCCATTCATTAACCCACCTTAACCTACTAGAATTTTCCATGACTAATTATGATTATTTGATGATAGATATTTTTATCATCTATCACTCAAAAGTTTGCAAGCTCCATGACAGCATATACTTGATTTTATTCAGCTATTGTCTCTGAGGTTTAGTATAGGGCCTGGTGCATGATGGGTAATCAACTAATATTTGTTAAATGGATAAATGAATTGAAATAGATATTCACAATCAGCTTTGGTAGACATTTTGCCTCAAGATTGTGCTAGCCTTTAAAATTTTCAAGCCATTAAACATATAAAAATCAGTTGTAAAAAAGACTTCTGCAAAATGTAATTTCCTATTTCAACTGTCTTCTATGTGTTATCTTCTATGTGTTATCCTCTACGTATCATCTTGTTATCTTTTTGGTACCAAGACATATGATTGGTTTAATGCATACAGTTATTCTCAGACTATAACGGCACCCTTATTTTTTGGGAGGGCCAGAGAGAGATTTAAATAGCTTGTATTCAAAATCCCAGAAATAACAGATAGTATTCATATTTTCAAAAATTATACCCACAGAGCTTGTTGAGTGCCAACATATAAACTATAGCTAGTAGTATATGAATACATACCCTTGACTCTGAAGAACCTTTTGTGGCTTAATCCATAGGACACCTTCACATTGATTATGGAGTTGGCATAATGAGCTATTAATTTATCCATGCATTTGCTGAGGAGCACCTTGGGGAGAAAATTAGCAAGTTCTAGAAACTATCTGTATCTGGGAAGGAAAGATTTTACCAGTGTTAATGGAAGTCAAAACTTAGCCAATTACTAACTGTGACACTGTTATGAGCTTTACTGTATATCTAGGTAATAAAAGTTTTCTGCATTATCTTATGTTAATCCCTCCTGCCATCCTACATGCTACTCCAGTCAAGTTGGACTTCTTTTTACAGATCATGCTGTGTTTTTTCTGCTTTAAGACATTTTCACCTCCTGTTCCCTAAGATGTACCATTGACATCTCATGTATCTAATATGCCTCTTCTAGTTTACCAAAAGCCCACTCATTAGCTCATTCATTTAAGTACAACTCCTCATACTGGAGGAAAGAAAATCAGTACACTAATCTTATGATCTGGTCAGGAAATTTAATTGCTAGAAATTGTAATAGAAATACAGTAGTAAACATTTCTGATAACAGAGTAAGCTGCTGACAGACTTGAATTCACAATCAAGTTCTATCACAGTCTGTCTTTAGTATTGGACATTAAAATGACTTAGTTTTATCTCAATTTAGCCAAAAACATAGTTCAGAAAACAGTTCAAATATTTGTATACAAAGTGAGATACAGCACATTTCCCATCACAAGGAGTGGAGGAACATGAACTGACAATAACTAAATGGGGTACATGATAAAATCAAATAATCGTATGGTAAAGAAAATAACCATCTAGGCAGCTAGGCATGGTGACACATGCCTGTAATCTCAGCACTTGGGAGGCTGAGGCAGAGTGATTGCTGGGAGTTCAAGCCCAGTCTGGGCTATAAAGTGAGTTCAAAGCCAGACTGAATTGCACAGCAAAACCCTGTCTCAAAAAGACAAAAAAAGTGCTATCTTGTTCAGTACCTCTTTCGGTACCTAACAATGTTGTCTATGTAACAGAGACTCAGAAAATATTTATAAAATATAATTTCCTAATTATAGGACAAAAATTCAAATCTCATCTTGGCACAAATATTCTTTCTGTAATATAGGTCCACTAATAAGCATACAGAACATAGGAGACTGTTAACCATCAAGTACTAGGTCAGAATGACATTGAAAAATAAGATCAGGTAAGCTTATTATTCAATACACAAATTCCCATGCAAAAATGAAAATAAAAAAATAAGGTGACATATTTATGTGAAGGTTCAGAGGTGGGGGTGTAGCTTGGTGGCTGAGTGCTTGCTTAGCATATGTGAATCCTTGTGTTTAATTCTGGGCACAGAAAAAAAGACATTAAGTTTCAAATACAATATGTCTTGCATCACCAAAACTGTTTTTTCCATTTCCAACATTTTGAAAGGCCTTTACAAAGTTTGCTAAGATTCAAGGCAAGTAAAAAATATTTCACGTTTCAGAAACAGTTATCTTTCAAAATTATGGAAATTCTTTCTTTTTCAGTTGATCACGGAATGATCTGATTATCATAAGTTACCATGCAACAAAAGAAACAGCAGACTTACAGTCAAATGGTCTATTTGTAACTTCATATTTAATTTGAAATGTGAGATGGAGGATGACAGAAATACATTGTGAATTTCCTCAAAATTCCATATTCATTTTTTACCTGCAAATACCTCAGTTATAAGACTGGTTTAAGCCTTTCAGTGCTTCCATTTTGTATATGTCAAAATTTAAATTAAAATGATATACTACAATCCACAGAACAGCATACCCCAAAGTCAACTATATTGTATACTGTTTTTAAAATAAACTGATATTATCAACTAAATAAATAGACATCTAAGACATATTTACCTCTTCCCATAATGACTGTCCTAATGTTTTGCATAAAATATAAATACCAAATTCTCCCACTGTCCCCAAAAGGTTTATGCCCCAGGTTAGCAAGCATGCGCTCAGTTTGGCTAGTACAATGGTTTTGAATCTGTGGCACATATGCCATAGAGGGCTGTTTATATCACTGAAAGCTCTAAAAGGTTTACCATCATTGATTTACTGGGTAAGTAAACACTGTATGAGGAGATATTCACGTTGCCTCCGCTAGTTGTAGAATCTCTCTTTTTTTTTTCTAGTGCTAGGTAGAGAACCCAATGCTTCATTCATACTAAGCAAATAATCTAACATTGAGCAAGATTTCCAAACATAGCTTTAGAATCTGATTGATAAAAAATTTTAGGAGCAATTCAGGTCAGAACCACATCCCCAATAAATTTACCTTGAGGAGAAATGTGAAGGTTATAGATCTTATAAAGCTGCCTGGAAAGGGCTTCTGTAGATCAGAAAAGTCAGCTGCTACATAGCATTATTTGATGGGCACCTTCATGTCATCTATCCCTACTGACCTCTTCTTCATCATGACCTCTTCTTCATCATGTAGATAAATCTCATATCTCTTCTTCAGAACAAGTAAACAGCTTAACTGGATTAATACATTCTGTTATGTCAGGGAAATAACATATATAAGAATTGGTTTATGTAACTAAAATGTACTATTTTGCCACCAAGCCAAAAACTAAACGTAAAAATGGTTGTCTGCGCTGGAGGAACAGCTCAGTGGTAGATTACTTGCATAGCATGCATAAGGCTCTGGGTTTCAGCACCACACAAAACAGGTGTCTGTTGTTGTTGTTGTTGTTATTGTTGTTATTGTTGCTGCTGCTGCTGCTGCTGCTGCTACTGGTGCTGCTGTTGTTGTGGCTGTTGATCTTGGTTTGATTTTTGTTTTGTTTTGCTTTTGCGTTACTGAGGTTTGAAACTAGGAAGCACTGAGCTAGCCATGCTAGCCTCAAAGTTGCAATCTCCCTGCCCCAGTCTCCTTAGTAGCTGGGATTACAGATATGCATCACTGTACCCACAGGGAAAAAATGGTTTTTACGGTTAGAATTACAATGGCTGAGTTTTGTAGCACCAAATAATTTCAAAGGATGGTCTAAATCAGGAAAAAAGTACAATTGAATTTGTCAGATTTCTCACAGAGGACCAAGTACATGGATGACAAATACCAGATGGAAAGAAAGCAGGAGTGTGAAAGTAGCAATGGAAAGGTAATATGTTTAGGAAAGAACTGATCAACAGGCAAGAGGAGAAAGCAAAGGAAAAGTTGCTATTGTAGATTCTGATTAATGTTTGCTGTTGAGGAGGCTAAGTATATGAGATCAATTCTTCCATTAATTTTCAACTAGGAAAACAGCAACTGGAATAACACAGCCATCCAAGGACACAGACACATGAAACAATAAAATGCTTCTGCTAGGGTATTTAAGTTTATAATGCGGGGTCGACTCACAGATGGAGGAATTTAAAGTCTTAATTGGATATTTAGAAGTCTAACTTGACAACCAAAAGGAAGAAATTGCCTTAATATACAGCAACAAACAAAAAATTATGGAATAAACATGTGATGGAATATGAATTGGTCATAAAAATAATAAAATACAGATATGTGGTACAATATGGAAAAATCTACAAAACATAATGCCACTTGAAAGAAAACAAACTTATGAGGTTATTTGTAGTGCAACTCATCTTGTACGAAATGTCTAAAAAGGCAAATGCAAACAGAAAGCATCTTAGGAGCATCTCTCAGAAACAACCAAAGAGGAATCAGGAAGTAACTGCTTAATGAGAGTGGCATTTATTTCCAGGAACTAGATAATGGGGTGAGTACACTTTAAAATAGTTTTAGGCTGGAGGTACAACACAATGGTATGGTGTTTGCCTAACATGCATGAGGCCGTGGATTCAATCCTCAGCACTACCAAAAAAAGATCAATTTTGTACAAATGTTACCCCAATAAAAAGTTTTAAATTTTACTCAAGAGATTTCTAACTCTAACTTTCAGTATTTGGGATCACTTAGTTAATTTTTAAGCTTGAATTACATAAAAATCAGAAAATAACATGCAAGTACTAATGAGAATAGGAGCTGGTTATTTTTTAATATTCCTACTTCTAAATGCTTTGATTTACTTATATGCTTTAATGAAGAATACATTTATCAAATAAAGAGTATGTAAAATAGGGCATGATGGAACACACCTATAATCCCAACACTCAAGAGGCTGAGCAGGAAGATCACTGTGAGTTCCAGGCCAGTCTCATCTACATAGTGAGTTTAAGGCCAGACTAAACTGAACAGTAAGACTCTATCTCAATAACCAAACAGACAAACAAAAAATATATATATAACAAAGAATATGCAAAATCAGGAAATAATATTTAAAATATTTAATGACATGTACAGCATGGACACTGACCAATCAGACACAATGCTAACTGTCAACAACCATTGGTAAGTACTGTGCATACATTAACACTGATAATCAAATTAATGGGAAATTTTAGTTGAGCAAACAATGAAGCCATAACAAAGGCATCTGATTTGTATCTTTTATCCAAAAGAAAATAAATAATCTCAAAGGTACTGGCATTGAAATGCATATTATAGATGTTTATAATATGTTACAGACTGTTTACATCCCTCCAAAACTCATCTGTTGAAGTTCTAACTCTCAATGTGATGGTGTTTGGAGACAGTGTTTCTGAGAGGTACATGAGATCACTGGAGAACTCAAGCTTGCTCTGTTCACATTAGCACAAAGAAGAGATTGTGAGAAGATACAACAAAATGGCAGACTCCTGCAAGTTAAGAATAGAGAACTTAATGAAATCTACTTTGCAATCACACTGATCTCAGTCCCCCAGCCTCTAGAACTGTGAGAAATAAATTTCTTACTGTTTAAACCATTCAGTTTGTGGGATTTGTAATGGTGGCCTGAGCATACTAAGATACAAAGGTTCTAATTTTTAAACCGTTCTCCACCAGCAGATCTTTGTATTCCTTGTTTTTGAGGAAGTGAAAGAAAATTAGATAGCCCCATCCTGAAAGTCTTCTATATATGGACCCTTTACATACACTACTTTCTTGTTTATTTTAGATACCAAATTGTTTAATGTGGTGAAAGCATAACAAGTAGATTAGAATTCATTCAAAGAATGATGAATAAGAAAATAAGTGATACTTTTATTCCACATTGTTGCAGTTCTAAGTAAACATGCACCTATTTATTACTAATTTGTACATAATATAGAGGTGTAATTTGTTGCTAAAGTTGGCTACAAACATTGAATTTTTGCATTTTTACAATGAATTGCTGTGAGAAAGCATACTTGGAAATTTCTAACATTTTAATGACTATTTCATTGCTTGGCTCAAATGCTTAAACGAGTTAGTGTTTTTCCCGGCATCATCTATAATAGGAAAAATCACTAAGCTGTATGTCATGTCCTGCATCCTGTTGTGAAATTCAGTCAACAAATACCAGGGAATGATATCCACAGATCTTTGGGATCAAAACATAAGAACATCCCATATAAGAGTAAAATAATAGATCTGGATTCCTTCTTTTCTTGAACTTGTGTCGAACATTTATTTTTCAGACTGGGACTTACTATGTTGTCCAGATTGGTTTTGAACTGTTGGTCACAAAGGTTTCTCCTGTTTCTGCTTCCCAAGTAGCAGGAACTACAAGGGTATACCATTGTATCAGGCTCGGGTACATTTGGTGATTCCTATGGTTAAGACTTATTTCAAGATGAACTCATTTGTAACTGTACAAGCAGGTAAATATTAATTTCCATTCATCTCTAGAAATAAATTATACAAAGCTTTGGATTTGGTCCCTAACACCACAAAACCAAATATCAAAAATATAAAGAAATAATATGACTTTACACTTGTTTGGCTTCTACCTTTTAAGACCTAGTTCTCCTGCTATGAGAAATAATGTAATATGTTAGCCATAATCTGTAGGAGGTAGACTTGCTATATTTAAATAATGTTATTGTTTGCATAGACTTTTGAAATTAGTAAATAGCTATTTTCTTTTCTAGTGATGATTTAGGTATAATTTACTTAGTATTTTATATTATTCTCATAGAATACTATAGTAGCAAATATAGTCAAATATTTGACCAAAAGAGCAGCCAATACTATATTAATATCTGTGGAGATAGATAATTGTAAACAGGGAGATAGATCTTCTGCAAAGAGGAAGGAAATTAAGAGGTGGAAAAGGGAAGGAAAAGGGACGAAAAGTAATTAAGATGTGCTATGTACATGTACCAACTTCTCAAGATGAATTACATTGTTTGATCAATCTTGAATGCCTGTATCTGATAGCCTGGGCAATTACTTTGAGGATAATGATTATGTAATGTAACAATCACTGTTAAATTCCAAAAAAATAAATAAAATGTGTGGTACATAGGAAACACTGAATAAAATATTAATTATCTTCAAATGCATCAACAGTAAGTAAATTTAATTTCTTTTTTTCAGAAACATCACTAAAGAATTTCAAGAATTTTTATTTTTATCATATTTTTCATCTTTTCTGATTTGCCTTTTTTATTTATTGGTACTGGGGATCAAACTCACTGCTTGCAAGGCAGGTGCTTTTGCCACTGAACTAAATCCCCAGCCCCGTCTTTTCTGATTTTCCCTTACCACCGTTGTATTACTCTTCTCACTCTCTCAGTTCTTTAAGTTATTGCAGTATATGTATATCAGTTTGATTTGACAATGGTGTTAAAAACTTTTTCCCAGTATATCCCATCCTTCTCTTCATCAATTTTCTCTCTCTAGTCATCCATCTGTTTTTATTCATTCATGTATTCTTGTAGGAGTCACAGCCTCTGTGGCATGTTTGCATTGGTTAGATGGGTGTTTTCAGCTAAAGCCCTTCCACAGAGAAGTCAACATATAAATGAGACGAGGCTACTGTATTACAATTGATTCTTGACTGGATTCTTTACTACACTGGCCAGAACTTGTATTTTCAAACAAGTGTCACAGTCAAAGTCGCTCTAGGAGTTCATCCATTCTTCTTCAGTGATATAGTTTTTATTGATACCATGGGGCTCAAGCAGCAAGTGCATAAGGCAAGGTTGGTATGTACCCCAATTCAGTGGAAGTTTTCAATTTTTACTTGCCATCAAACACTTCATAATCTCACTACCCAAATCAGCTTTTACATTGTTCCTTTGTATTACTCAACCCAATGCTTAAGTACATTTATGCATTGTCTTTTCTTATGACTTTTTTGATCAACCATTCCCTCGCTGCTTGGCTTTTAGGACCCCACACTTACCTATTTCATTGGCCTCTCAGGGTCAATCTCTGTTGCTGATTCTTCTTGTTAAACCAGTTTATAGAGTACCCTAAGATGTATTAGCCTTACTCTTTATCTATTGAGCTTTGGGATACTCTTTAGTAATCTCACCCATCCTTGAACATTACCTGTCTATTGATGGAATCCAAAATGAGCACATTTCTCCCACATCTCCATGCTTATATATCCAGCTGTTTACCAAACTTCTATATTTGGATGCCTTATAGGCTTTACAACCACAACAGACCACAAACTAATTCCTAAAATTGTCATTCTAAACACTTTTTTATGACATGTCAGTAAAGTACAACTCTATTACTTCCATTTGTCTAGACTAAAACTCTGAGACTCATCCTTACTGCTCTCTTTTCACCATTATCCATATTTATGAGTTACATAAACTTCAGAATCAGGCTCCGAATGCAACCACTTCTCGCCAGCTCCAGTGCCACTGTCTTGGTCAAAATCGTTAGCATTTTGTGCCTAGATGTTAATTATCTTAATTGTCTTGCTGCTTCCACTATTGCTCACCTATCTGCATAGTCTGCTCTCAACACAGCAGCCAGAGTAATCTTGTTATCTTTTTTCAAAAGTTGTTCTTTATGATGAACTAACAGAGAATTAGGAGTATGGTTATTTATCTTGCAACTACTTCTAAGATAACAATGAGTAACATATTATCTAGTGTCGATTTCTTAGTGTTTTTTAAAATTCTGTATTATTTCTGGCCTCTTTTGTTTTTCTTTTTAAAAATAAAAAAATTAAAAAAATAAAAGACCATTTAAAGTTTCAAAAAATAAAATAAATAACTGTTAAATGAAAAAAAATTGTTCTTAGTAGAATGAAAGATAAAATTGGTACAATGCCTCATAAGGCCCTACAGAATCTGATTCTCTGTTTCCACTCTTAGGTGAAAACATTCAGGCCAGTTGTTCACTTCAGTTTAACTGCATTGTCCTCTTATCTTTGAAACCTTCCAGTCAGTTTCTTACCTCTGATCTTCAACATCTTCTGTCCTCTTAACTTGAAATATTTGCCCACAGACATCCATATGACTCCCTCCCTCACTTCTTTCAAGTGAGACTGTCTTACCTGAAGTTACAATTCCATGATCACTACCCTTTTAATCACATGGCTTCTAATTATTTTTCTTTCTCTCTGTTTAATATTTTTTGTGAGTATGCCCTTCTATCTAGAATGTAATCTTATAAGGCAAAACATTGGTCTATTATGTTCATTATTGTATCGTTGGGGTGTAGCATTCTTTTTTTTTTTTGTGCAGTAGGAAATCACTAGTTAATGGATTACATATTGCCATCTTAGAAATAATTGTTCAAGTCACAAAATTAAAGCTTGTAGAGTGGACATTCCAACAATGATACTGCAAACAGTTGTGTTCAATGATCCAATAAACTCTGTGATATCATTTTCTATCTTATACACTTAAATATACATGCAGTTATATAGTTTAGAGCACTTTCTTTTCCTCTCTTTTGTACAATGACTATTACACATTTTGGGTTTCATTGCTCCCACGGTTCTTATTGCTTTTTTGGAAGAGAGTAAAACCAAATGTGACATAACAGAACAGAATCAGTCAAGTCAAAAGGGTGGACATAATAGATAATATAAAAACATAATACAAGGTGATCAACAATGGTTACCATAATGCCTCCCGCTATCTCTAATAGAATTGCCTATATCATTAGTTGTAATACAATTGAACAAAACAGTAAAGAACAAAACCGACAAAACCAAAACATTGGAGATATTGTAGGTCTTCAAAAGTAGATAAAAGTCAACGAGAATGGGCGTTATAATGAATCTCATTATCTTCTCAGCTGATGCCTAAACTTTCGAACCTGATACTATCCAGTAAAACAGAATAGAGGAACCTCAGTCAAAAACAAGATGGTGAGAGTAATACAGGGCTTCAAATCGAGATAATAGAAAGTCAAAGTGGGTTACTATATTATATCCTGCTATTTTTTTCCCTTTAATTAAACGGATAAAAATGAAAAAGTAAATAATGGAGTGGAGATTGAGAAAAAAAGAGGGCATAACAGCAAAACAGGGCAGATCAAAACATAACCATTTAAGCAGAATAGTGTTTCATTCTTATAAGATATAAGAAATAGCAAGGGATTTCAAGGAGAATGAGAATACGAGGATTAAAAAGTAGAGCAACAACCAAGGGAAGAGTAGGCAGTAAGAGGTAAACAGCACAAGGTCCTTCATGGGGATACTTTCAACCATCAGATTCCAAAGCATTAATGCATTATGCTAATATCTGCCAGTAGTATACAGTGTGTGATCCAGACAGCCAAGTAGGACAAAGAATGTATGGATTAAGTTGGCAAGAACCTGAAAACATATCACAGAACACACTGGATGTAAAACTCCCCACTGTTAGTTACACAGAAAAGCACAAAGAGACTTTCCTAAAATGCATCTTAGCAAGTATGCGTTTTTGGCTGGTGGAGCAATTGAAGAACTTACAAGAGTCCCTTGGGATTATATTTCTTAGTGGATAGAGGAAAAACATCATTGTGAAATTTTTTATAGTGTCCAATGATATTGAGAGTCCATTAAATGCTGCATTTTTTTGTCTTTGTGTGACAGGGTCTTGCTATGCAGTTCCATGCTGGCCTTGAGCTCATTTTGTAGTTCAGGCTGGTATCGAACTTCAATGATTCTCCTGTTTCAGCCACCCAAATGCTTGAGCATCTGCATGGAAGAGGGCACCATACTGAGAAATAGGAAATAATCCCACGGATGCCCAGACAGACGACATTGGCCCACCCCTCAGCCCTGGGCTGCCTATGCCATCGCACCACAGGCTTTCTGCATAACCCGTGAACATCTGGACAGATGTCACCAACCCGCCCTTCAGCCCTGACCACCTATACTGCCACACCACACAGCTCAGGAACCCCCCCCCCACCTCCTACATCTAATACTGCTGCTGTTGATCTCCGGCTCCTACCCTTTCTCCCAGAACCTTCTACTACAACAGATTAACCATGCTAGCTTGATGTGAGATTCAGCAACCCATCACCTAAACAGAAGACCTCAGCAGGCTCCAGTCAGTGTGGTGAGTTTGCCTGTAAAATTGAGGTCTGTGATGGGTAAATAGGGAAGTACTAAAGCTCCCTCTAACTAATGGTAAGACCTTAATGAATTTGACAAGAGTGTGGGTGACTCCTTCCTGCACACAGAAAACATCAGGAAGGATAAGGAGTGTGCCAATAAGGATTCTCCAAACTTGGAGAAAATCAAAAGGGCTCATGACACACAGGCACACAACAGGGACACAGTAGGGCCTCAGCTGAGACAAACACTATAGACAAGGAGATTTGGTGACCTGGAATAACCTGAAGATAAACTAATAGCATTAACTAAGAGTTGGCCTACATCAATAATACTAGGCTTGTCAGCCCAGGAAGAATATAGGGCTCACCCAGTAGGCTCTGCAATTGGAAGTCAGGTGGCTGGAGCACCTATTCATTGTGAAACCCAGCAATTGGACAAACATCAACATTACAGTAGGACTCCAAGATACATACTGCCAACAGTTGACACTAGTAAGATTGAAGGACCAAATATTAACTCAAAAGGGGAAAATGGCAAAATAAAAAAAGCAAAATGCAATCTGAAACATCTAGTCCACCAGGAGCAAATACAGGAGACACTGAAATAAAGGACTTCAAAAGTAACACACCGGAAATCAGGAGAAAGTTATAAGGGCTTATGAAACACACAGGCACACAGCAGGGACACAGTATGGCCTCAGCCAACACAAACACTATAGACAGGGAGATTTGGTGACATGGAAAAACCTGAGATAAAGGAACAGCAGAAACTAAGAGTTGACCTACATTAATACTCCTGGGGTTGTCAGCCTAGAAAGAATATAGGACTCACCCACCAGGCCCTGTAGAAGGAATTCAGGTGACTGGTCCTCCTATCCATTGTGGTACTCAGCAATTGGACAAACATCAACAACACAGTAGGATCCTAAGATCCACACTACCAACAGTTGAGACTGTTGGAAATTAAGGACCAAATATTTGCCCAAGGGGTGAAAATAACAAAACACACAAGCAAAATGCAATGCCAAACATCTAGCTGATCAGGAGCAAGTAGAGGCATCACTGAAATAGAGGACTTTAAAAGTCATACCCGAGAAATCTCCAAAAAGATAGTAAATGAAGTAAAGAAATAAATCCATGAGGCTATAAAAGGAAATCAAATTAGAAATAGTTTCCCATGTAAAGACAGAAATAACAACCTTAGTAAAGGAGTTGATCAGCATAGGCAGAGAAGAAATAGATTAAAAAAAAACAGGAACATGTAAATTGATTGAAACTTTGCATGAACAATATAGAAAACAAGCAGAATCTAAGAAACAAACTCAGATAGATATCCAAGAAGCAAAAAGTTCTATGGAAAGCTGGCAAAACTGTTTAAATGAAGATGAGGATAGAATTTCGTACCTTGAAGACAGGATCTCAGTTAGCAATTACTAGAGTAGAATTTTTAAAAACAACAAAGCAACATAAAATAACAATCCAGCAACTTCAGGATGATGCCAAGAGAAACAATATAAAACTAATAGGAATCAATGAAGATGCAGGAGTCAACACAAATGACATAGGCCAACTATTCACAGAAGTAATAGCAGAAAATTTGCCAAACATGGGGAAAAAATCTGACATACAAATACGTGAGGCATATAGGACACCAAACAGTCACAAAAACGTAAATCTATACCCAAAATAATAATTAGAATCCCAGATATACAGCATAAAAACAGAATACTAAAAGCTGTTAGAGAAAGATACAACTCACCTATCAAGCAAAATTCATCAGAATAATGACAGACTTTTCAGCCCAGACTCTCAAATTAAGACAAGCTTGAAGTGAGGTTTTTCAATCTCTGAAAGAAAACAACTTTCAACCCAGACTGATGTGCCCAGAAAAACTTTCAAATTTCATGGAGAAACAAGATACTTCCATAACAAAGAACAACTGAAGAACTTCATGTCCACCAAACCAAACCTAGAAAGAGTATTGGAAGACATACTAGATAGAGACAAAAATGACCACAATCTCGAGAACAACAGCAGAAAGACAGCACCAGGTTGGACAAGAAAATTAAACAAGGGTGGAAAGTGAGAAATCAACAACTGGAACATAACATGGCAAAGTTGAGCCAGTACATATCAGTGGTATCCATAAAAATAAATGGTCTCAATTCACCTATCAAAAGAAATTGGTTGAGAGAATGGATCAAGAAACATGATCCCACAATATGCTGTATGCAAGAAACACATGTGACTCAAAAGGAAACGCATAGATTAAAAGTCAAAGGATGGATAACAATATTCCATGCAACAGAAAACAGAAAAAGTCAGGAGTAGCTATTCTGTTTGCAGACAATGTGAACTTCAAGCCTAAAATAATTAAAAGAGATAAAGTTCACTATATACTTGTTACTGGAAAAATTCAAGAAGAATTAAAAATTATAAATATATAAGCACCAAATATAGGAACACCCAACTATATAAGACAAATACTAATGGACACAAAAACTCAAATACACAGGAACACAATTGTAATAGGAGACTTTAATAACCCACTGTCACAAAGAGATAGATCAACTAGACAAAAAGTCAGCAGAGAGGGAGCTGGAACAAAGATGGCTGACACATAATGCTGGCTACAGAGACACTCTGAGAGATTCAATGTAGAATTCACAATAATATAGCATGGGGAGCCCTAAACAGAGGGAGATGAATTCTCTCATGCCAAGAAGAAACTAAGGTGAGAAGAACCAATCAAACATATAGTCCCAGTGCTATTATTGGAACAGCTAAAGGTTTAGTGCTTCCACCGCAGCGGGTGACTTGCTGAGCCATCCGAGGTCCAACCACTTTGACTCACTGGAGGCGCAGTCACACTGAGGTCAGGGGTTGGCCAGCTGAACAGAGATAACTGCATGTACGTTTAAGTGTATAGGATTGATAACCATATTTCTAAGTTTTTGTTGGATAGTTGAACAGAACTGGTTGCTATCTCACTGTCTGAATCTCCACTTTATATGCTCCACTTTAGTATCTTGAATAACTATTTGTAAGAAGACAATCTGTAATCATCAACTAGTGATTGCATACTATTTTTCTTTGAATATATGTATTGTCTCTACCCATTTTCTGTTTTGTTTAGTCTTTCTTTAAATAAATTTTTTTTTTAAAAAGACACTACAGTACCCAGTGCTGATCCCAGAATGTCATGATATGAAATCAAGCAATACTATTATTCTTTGTTCAGAATGACTTTAGCCTGCTTTAGTTTGTTTAATCCCAACATAAATGAAGATATGGAAAACTGCATGTATGTTTAAGTGTATAGGACTAACAACCATATTACTAAGTTTTTGTTGGATAGTTGAACAGAACTGTTTGCAATCTCGCTGTTTGAATTCCCACTTTATATGTTCCATTTTTGTATCTATAACAAGTATTTGTAAAAGGATAGTATGTAAACATTAACTAGTGATGTTTTACTGTTTATATTTTCTTTGAACATATGTATTATTTCTACTCATTTTCTGTTTTGTTTAGTCTTTTTAAATTAATTTTTTTAAAAAATTGGCAAATAAATAATAGAACTGGAACATACTTGTGAGCAACTGGACATCTACTGATGTTACAGAGTGTTCCACCCAACTACATCAGAATATACATTTTCCTCAGCTGCACATGGGGCATTCTCCAAAATAGACCATACAATTACCCAGAAAACATTTTTAAGAAAATGCAAAGGGATTGAAATTATTCCATGCATAATATCTGATCATAGTACACTGAAACTGGAAATTAATGGCAAAAAAATTACAAAGCCAGCATAAACACATGGAAATTAAACAACAACCTTCTGAGCAACCAGTGGGCTACAGGTGCAATTAAAGAAGAAATAAAGCAATACCTACCATTCAATGAAAATGCGGATACAACAAACTGTAACCTGGTGGGATGCAATGAAAGCAGTCCTAAGAGGGAAATATATACCAATAAACTGTCACATCAAGAACATGGAGCAAGCATAAATAAACGACGTGATGCTACTTCTCAAGCTCCTAGAAAAGGAAGAGGAAATCACACCCAAAGCTCATAGAAGAAAGGAAATTGTAAAGTTCAGAGCAAAAATTAATGCAATTGAAAATACAAAAACAATACAAAGAATTAAAGAATCAAAGAGCTTTTTTGAGAGTTTTTTTGAGAGAATAAACAAACTTGATAAACCTCTAGCCAATCATATCAAGAAAAAGAAAGAAAAAAATTCATGCAATAAGGACTGAAAAGAGAAAAATCACTACAGATCCCATGGAAATGCAAAAGATCATGAACACCTACTTTGAAAATCTCTACTCACACAGGTTGGAAAACACAGAGGAAATGATGAGATTTTCAGAAACATTTGAACTAACAAAGCTCAATCAAAGAGATATAACAATTTTCAATAACCCAATATCAGCTATTGAAATTGAAAATGTGAATAAAAACTTACCAACAAAGAAAAGCCAGTGTCCTGATGTATTCATGCCTGAATTCTACAAGAAATTTAGAGAACATTTCATGCCAATACTTCTTAAAATCTTCAATGAAATCAAAAGAGAAGCAATCCTCCCTAACTCATTCCTAGAGGAAAGTACCACTCTGATACCAAAACCAGAGAAACACCCAACCAAAAAAACATAACTATAGGCCAGTCTCACCAATGAACATTGATGCAAAGATTCTCAATAAAATAGTTGTAAAAGAATGCAGTAAATCATCAAGAAGATTATACAACATAACCAAGTGGGATTTATTCTAGGAATGTAGGAATGGTTTAACATATGCAAATCAATAAATATAATACAGTACATCAACAGAGCCGAAAACAAAAAGCACGTGATCATCTCAATAGATGTATAAAAAGCTTTTGATAAAGTCCAAAACTTGTTCATGATAAAAAAAAACCACAGAAACTGGAAATAGATGGTATCTACCTCAATCTCATAAAGGCCATCTATGACAAACCAACAGCCAACATTATACTAAATGAACAAATACTGAAAGCTTTCACTTTAAAATCAGGAACAATAAAAGGATGTCCACTACCACCACTCCTATTCAATATAGTTCTAGAAACACTAGCCAGAGCAATCAGACAAGAGAGAGAAATAGAAGGAATAAAAACAGGAAAAAAGTTCAATTATCATTATTTGCTGATAACGTGATACTCTATATAGAAGACCCACAAAACTTCATTAAAAGACTACTAGAAGTAATAATCAAATTGAGCAGCAATTTGATACAAAGTCAACACTCAAAAATCCATAACATTCCTGTACACAAACAAAAAACTCACTGAGACAGAAATTATGGAAATAACACCTTTCACAATAGCACCTTAAAAATGAAATATCTAGGAATCAAGCTAACCAAGAATGTAAAAGACCTATATGCTGAAAATTATACTACTCTAAAAAAAGGATAGTGAAGAGGATTGTTGTAGTTACAGGTTGTATACAGAGAACAATTAGGATCAGTACATGGAGCTTATAATATTATTTTTGTAATGGTCACCGGGAGTTAACACAGGAAAATGCAGGAAATCTATCTGCAACACCAAAGACCTAGATTATTTAGTCAAGAGCCTAAATCCCACAGCAATGTCCCACATGAGTCCAGATAAAAACACAGAGTTCAGGACAATGCCTCCCACCAGTCCAACTGGAGGTCCAGAGCCCACGAGAAGGACTCACACCAGTCTCTTTTATGGATCTGTGCTGGGAAGACCCAAGGGTCAGCAGTGGAAGCCAGAAAGTCTATGCCAGCAGGATGAAAGTGCTGTGCTAGTGGGATGAGGGATCTATGCTGGAGCTGAGAAGTCACACTCACAACAAAGACCAGGGCTATCCTGAAAGGCACCACAGCCATCCTCAGTGACACGGAGGCCCTGAGCTCCTCCGACCACAAGCACAGTCTGGTACATGCCAGGAAGCAGCGTGACGAGTTCATCCTGGAGACCAAGCAGCACATGTCTTCCCCTCCGGAGCCAGGAAGCAATGCTCGAATGTGAGGACCAAAGCTTCTCCAGGAGAACCAAAAGCTTAAACAGCAACTTGTAGGAAAACCCACAATGCCTCCATGCAACAACGCATTAACACCTCAACCCTCTCTTCTTCTCCACCTATTTATCTTGGCAACTTTCCTCAGGTGGAGCATCTTTGCTCAGTGCCGTGCTGATGTAATCCAGCTGGTGTTAAGTTGACTACCAGTTCTTAATCCATAACAAGGATATTAGAAAATGCAAGGATATTCCTTGCTCTTGGTTAGCAAGATCCAACTTTATGAAAATAGCACACTCCCAAAACTGTTTTACAGCTTTAATGCAATCCCCATCAAAATACCACTAACATACCTTACAGATCTAGAGAAAACACACCTAAAATTCATTTGGAAACAGAAGAAACCTAGAATAGCAAAGGCACTTGTGGGCAACAAAGGCAATGCAGGAAGCCTCTCAATTCCTGACTTGAAATTATACTACAAATCCACAGTGATAGAATCAGCATGGTACTGGCAAAGAAATACACCCAACAACCAATGCAACAGATTAGAAGATGCAAACAGAACTACAAAGATAGTCAGACAGTCAGACCCTTTTCAAAAATGGAAATCTGAGATGAACACACAGTTCTCAGATGAAGATATACAAATGGCAAAAAGATACATGAAGAAATGTTCACGATCACTGGTCATTTGAGAAATGCAAATTAGAACAGCATTGGGATTTCATCTAACTCCAGAAAGAGTGGCTACCATCAATAAATCAACTGATAATAAATGTTGGTGAGGCTGTGTGGAAAAAGGAATGCTTCTCCACTGTTGGTGGGAGTGTAGACTGGTGCAGCCACTGTGGAAAGCAGCATGGAGATTTCTCAAAAAAAACTAGGATTGGAAGTTCCATTAAAGCCAGCTATTTCCCTCCTGGGTATTTTCCCAGAAGCATGGAAAAAATCATGTCACAGTGATGTATTTGCACCCATGTTTATAGCAGCACACTTTGTAATAGCTAAATCTTTTTTTTTTATTTAAAGAAAAGGAAACGAAAAAAATACATGGAGATTAAAAAAAAGGGTAGAAATAATACAAAATTACAGACAAACAAAAGGTAAGAAATTGCCGGTTGGTAAGTTACACATTGTCATCTTCGAAATAGCTGTTCAGGTTGTAGAATTAAAGTATTTAGAATGACATTCAAAAAGTGACCTAAATCTTGAACACAACCAAAAGGCCCATCAACTGCAAAGTGGATGAAAAAGATGTGGTATTTTTATACACTGGAATACTGCTCAGCTTATAAAAAAGCATAATCTTGAGGCCTTTAAAGGTAAATGGAAGCAACATGAGACTATCCTCATAAGTGAAATAGATAAGACCCACCTTTGTAAGAACCACATTGTCTCTCAAGTGTGAAAAAAATAATTTAAAAACTGAAAGAATGATAAGATCCAAAATGTATAATAGATATTGTCAACATGAAGGGGAGGGAAAGTGCTCTAAATGGTACAACTATATGTATGTTTAAGTGTGTAACACAGATTACCATATTACTAAGTTTTCATTAGATTGTTGAACAGATTTTTTTCCACCGTGAATGTTTGAGTGCCTAGTCACTTTTTATGCTTTGATTTTCTAACTTGAACAACTATTTCTAAGATGACAATATGTAACTTACCAACTAGTGATTTCTTAGTGTTAATATGTTTCTTCGAAATTATGAACCCATTTTTCTGTTTTGTCTGTTTTTTTCTTTCTTTTTTTCTGTAAAAAATAGTAAATAAAGAAAGAGTGCCTCTTATGATACAAGGTTCTGGCATTAGTGCAAGGGGTAATTTTATAGAAAGCCTGTGAGAACAGCTGGATGCATGGGGTCAGTTATGGCTGAAATTTTAATGTGAAGAAACTACACTCCAAATAGGAAAAGGTAGAAAAAAATTAACTACCCATAGAATTAGATTCATAGGATTAGATCAATTTTCATAAATAGATCTGGTAATTTGAATAAGACTTATGAAGATAACTATGCAAAACAATAAAAAGTGTTATGTTCCTATCACCTTGTTTTGAAAGCCTACATTGTTATTACTTTGGGCTCTTAGTTATAGTTATTTAATTGTTGTTTGTTTTTCTCGGCAGTACAAAAGGGATAGATGTACATGTATAGGCTTATACATGCCTAGATTTTCACTTAAAGTGTAAACAATAATTGATTTTAATATGTGTGATAGTATGAACAACTACAGTGAAGAAAATGAGACACCATGGTAGCCATTGGTGATTTCCTCATTTTGATTGTAAAGCCAATAATGCTTTTATTCTTGGTTTTGATTGGTTTTAGTCTGTTTTACATTATTTGATTGCAATATAAAGATATGGACAGATATTTGATTGTCCATATAAAGATATGGACAGCTATTTTGAAGAAAACAAGAGCCTTGAACACCTTTAAGACTCTCATTCTTTTGATTGCTTTTATACTATTTTGGTGTGTATAAACTTATTGTGTATGAAACTATGGGAAACTATATTGAAGAAAACAAGAGACATTATGGTAGCCATTATTGATTTCCTGCTGTCTTTTTGCTGAAATCTTGTGTTATTTGCATTGTTTTACACTTCTCTGCTTTGTTTTGCTTTGCTTTGCTTTATTCTCTTTAAAATAAAAAAAATTGAAAAATAAAAATGAATAGAGTTGAAGGAATCAGAAATCAGAGATGTGAACATAGCAGATGGCACATAAATGCAGAGACATACATAGAACTGCATTGTGCAACTCTTGTGGCACCAAACTGAACTGGTGGAGCTGAGTAGGCAGTAATGTGTGCAGTACCAGAAATGAAGAGGAAATGACCTGTGTTTTGGAGTAACTGTATGTTTTGAGCTATATGGAACACAAAGTCCTCCAAAAAGCATGCACTGTTTTAAAAAATGTTTATCACATTATTGAAAAGTGCCAGGGTCAGGTGGCTCCAGGGATTTTTGTTTGTTTTCTTGCATTCTTTTAGTGTCTCAAAAATAATTTAAGGACAAGGTTTTTTCCATCTTTCTGGTCTGCCATGCAGTGTCTATTTTGTTCTCAAGTTTATTCTTCTCACAGTCATAAGATAATTGCTGCATTTCCAGCCAAAACATCTACATATAACCACAACCAGAGAAGAAACTATATCATCCTGAGGATATGTTCAAAGGTTAAGTAAACAACTTCAAAAAGACCCACATCAAAACATCCCTGTTAATATTATTCATGAAAATTGAGTTATACGTCCATATTGCAAACACTAGCGAAAAGAAAGAACTTAGTATGATTAGTTTAGACTAATCAGGATTTACTACTTCAGTAAGTAACTGTCACCATCACTGAAGCACAGATAATGGATAAAACCTGGACTTCTGTTGACAAAGTAAAAGAGATAGTAGATATTCAGTAGTTATACAACAGTGCCTAGCATAGTCCTTGACAGTGGAAAACACTTTAATCTGTGACAACAGATTCCATGGTTTTAAATGAAGAAATAGGTCTGGGGTGTAGCTGAGTGGTAGTGTTTGCCTAGTGCACATGATGCCTTTTGGTTGTTCTATTCTGGAGAACAAATTCAAGGCCATGGGACTGAGCTATATCTGCAGCTGTTTTTTTGTTTTGTTTTCATTCTGAGACATTGTTTCACCAAATCATTAAATAACCCAGGCTGGGCTTGAATTTGTGATCCTACTGCCTCAAGCCCCAAGAGTGCTGGGGTTAAAGGTGTGTACCACCACACTCAGCTTCAATGTAGTTCAGATTTTTATTTCCCTAATGACTAAAGATCCTCAATTTTATTATTAACCTCACACATCAAGGCAGTTCACTACTACAGAGAAAGGTGCCACAAAAATTCTGTGCTAATACCACAGAGGAAGTGGAAAGATAACCCATAGAGTGAGAAAAAAAATTGAAACATATATATATATATATATAAATTTATATATATAAATATATATATATACTATATATAGTGTATATGTATACATAGAGAGGAAGGGAGAGAGAGTGTGTCAAACCAGAATCAAAAAGACAAAGACTGCATGTTCTCTCTAATATATGTAATCTAAAAAAAGATAATAAGTAGAAAAGAGACTATTAACAGACAAGAGGAAGAATGGGGGGAGGGGAGAGATGGTGTAAGATAAGTAACTGGGGAATCAATATATAAATTACTATGTACACATTGAATCTCCAAAAAATGTGAAACGAGAGGGAAAGGTGGGAGGAAAAGGTAAAAAGGGAAATGATTAAAATATGTCATATGTTTGTACAAATCTGTCAAAATAAAACTCATTAGTCTGAGAGAAAATATACAATAATAAAAATTGTCCTCAAAAGAAAAGAATTTACCAAAATAAAGAAGATTTCAAGGTGTGAAAAGTCATGCAAGAAATTTAAATGCATATTTCTAAGTGAAAGAATTCTACTACTCTGTATATTATGATATTTTATATAATATTATAATACATATCATTACACATTTATACAAACTCACAGGATTTACAGCACCTAGAGTGAATCTTCATGTGAAAAATGGCCATGAATTAATGATGATATATCTAGGGCTGTGGATTTAGCTCAGTGGCATAAGCGCCTGCCTGGCAAGCATGAGATCGCGAGTTCGATCTCCAGTACCAAAATATATATATATATATATATCAGTATAGGATCATTAACTAAAATGAACATGCCACATTAATAAAAGACTTTAACGATAGGAAAATGTGCACATGCATGTGGTATGTATGGGAATATCGTCTTACCCACTAAATGTTTGTGTCTCAAACCCACCAGTTTAGTTATAAAGAAAAAATGAAAGATATTTTAACAAATGTTTATAAGGACATGAACAAATTGAATCCCTTAAAATTTGCTAGTAAGAATGTACAATGATACAACTACCCGGAAAAACAATTTGATAGTTCTTCATTATAAAAATAGATACAATGTGACCCAGCAATTTCACTTCTATAGCTTCATTCAGGATAACTGAAAATGTGTAGACTCACAAATTTATACATAAATGCACACAGCAACATTTTTTATAATAGCCCTGGTCAAAACAGTTCAAAAGTCCATCAACTATGAGTGGAAACAAAATGTCGTATGTCCATACAATGGAATGCCAATGGGCATAAAAAGGAATGAAGTAATGATATATATGTTACAACATGCACTGATTTGAAACCATGCTAAGTGAAAGAACCCAATCACGAAAGACCACATATTGTAGAACTACACTTTGAAATGTCCAAAAATGTAAAACTCATAGTAAGAGAAAGTTGATTAGCGTTTTTGTTAAAGTTAATGAAATTTTTCTAAAATTAATGGTGATGGTTACACAACTCTTTGAATATATGAAAAATCATCGAGTTATATCAGTCAAAAGGACAAGTTTTACTGAATGTGAGTTATATTTCAAGAAGATACTAAAATGCAAAGCTAGATGCCTTTGCCAGATATTCAGTCTGTTTTTCAGCACATCAGTATGTAATACATAGATAACATCTGTGATAGTTACTCTATCTTGAATTTTTTAAAGTAAAACTATAAATATCTATATGCTTAATGCTCTGCTGTGATCTAGAATTTGATCCTTTCATTTTTGAAGTATGTTCTTTGTATCTAGTCCATATATATGTGTGTGCATACATGTGTATTGATAAAAAACTAAAAGTACATATTGATAAGAAAATATTAATCAGTATGCATTTTTCAATTTATGGTGTAATCTAGATTTCGACTGGAACCTTTGGAATATGTTGATTATTTTAAGAAATCAGAGGACTCTTTATAAGATAATGGATAAAATAATGTACTAAATGACATTTTATTTCGTCAAAATCATGAAAACACCCTCAAATTGTTTGACTTTAGCTGTGCAAACACAAAGCAACAAAAAGTTACCCAAAGTTCAAACATTTTTGAAAGGTAATTAAATGAAACTCTTTTGCCTTGAAACACTTCCTCTTCCTGACATTCCTCTTCTTCTTTTTGGGGGTTCTGCTTCTTTTTCTCACTTGTGGATATAGATATACCCCCAGGGTTCTGTCCTACTCTCTGAGATAGATGTGAAATTTGGGAAATCAGACAGAAGACTATAGTGAGCTGATTAATGGTCCCACAAAAGAACATCTCCTCATCCTAATCTCCAGACTCATGAATGTTATCTTGTATGGCAAAAGAGTGACCATTATGTGGTTTTTAAAAAGTAAAGATTTTGAAAGAATTCTACTGTATTATCTGGTGGGCCGTTAACACAATTGCATGTACTTTTATAATTTAGGGGAAGGGAATTCTGAGGCAAAAGACGAGGAAGCAATGTAACCAGGAAGGCAGAGATTGCAGTGATGTGGTCACAAGCCACAGAACCTCTGGAGCACACATGTGTTAGTCAGCTTTCTGTCACAGGGGTAAAAATACTTGAGATAATTTGTTATAGAGGAGGAAAGGTTTATTTTGCCTTGTGATTTCAGAGGTTCAATCTGTCACTAAGACACCCTCATTGTTTGGGCCCTTTGGCAGCAAACTACATTGTGGCACAGACACAGGAGGAGGATGCCTGTTCACTCCGTGGTGGCTGGAAAATGTAGAAAGAAACAAGAATTAGCAGGGTCCCAATTTCCCTTCCAAGAATACACCTCCAGTGATCTAATTGCCTTCTCCTAGGCTCCACTTCTTTTTTTTTTAATTTTTATTTACAGAAAAAAAACACAACACAAAACAGTAAAAGGATACAAGTAATACAGAATTTAAAAAAACAGTAAGAAATCACTAGTTAATAGATTACATATTGTCATCTTAGAAATAGTTGTTCAAGTTACAAAATTAAAACATACAAAGTGGACATTCAAACAATGAGACTGCAAACAGTTCTGATCAATGACACAACAAAAATTTAGTAACATAATCATCTATCTTACACACCTAAAAACACTTGCAATTGTGTCCTTTAGAGCACTTTCTTTTCCTCTCTTTTTCACAATAACATTTACACATTTTGGGTTTTATTACTCAGTTATTACACAGTTCTTATTACTTTTTTTGGAAGAGAATAAAATCAAACATGACAAAACAAAGCAGTCAGTCAAAACAAAAGATGGACATAGTACATGATGTAAAAATAGAATACAAGGTGATCAACAATGGTTACCATAATGCCTCTTGCTACCTTAAAAAGAATTGCCTATATCATCAGGTATAATAAAATTGAACAAAACAGTTCAGAACAAAACCAATAATACCTAAACATTGGAGACATTACTGAACTTCAAAAGAAGATAATAGTTAAACCAGAATGGGCATCATTGGGAATCTTATTGGCTTCAAAGTAGTTGCTTATACCCTCAAACTTTATACTATCAAACAGAACAGAATAAAGTCAGTCAAACCAAGATGGTGAGAGCAATACAGGGCTTCAAATCGAGTTAACAGGAAATCAAAAAATTTACTATAATATATCCTGCTAATTTTTTAAAATTTATTCCCTTAATTAAAAAAATAGCTTCCAGGAGAACATGGCAGACAAATAACAGCAGCCATGGAGGCTCTCTGAGATTACCAGCTTAGAATCCAGGAGCGGTGCCATGTGAGGAGTCCTAAGCGAGGGGAGATGTACCCTGCCGACCCAGGAAGGAACAAAGCTGAGAGAAACCAACTGGAAATTCAATTCTGATGCTATAACAGGAACAGATAAAATCTCAGCACAGAAGCTGGATCCCGTGCCATTGGAAGCCGTGATTTGAATTTTCTGCTGCCGCTACTGGGTCCCAATCGGTAAGGCAGAGAGAGAGACACGTGAAAGCTCTGAGAGTGGGAATCAGGGAACCAAACGGTGTGGAGAGGAGGACTGGCAGGGAGCCCTGCATCGATCTGTGGAGAATGAGAGAAATGGGGATCCTTTCATACACTAGGAGGCGCCAACAGAAGACATTCTGGGAATGGGCAGACGAGCCAGAGCAGGGCCCTGCAGTGACTTTAGTTGCTGTTCACCTCTCAAGTGGGATTGGTGGGGAGCGCATAGCCTGGTGATGCTGTGGACTAAGATCTAGTAGGCTAGTCCAGATCAGGTCCCTGTGCCTGGCAGTGCACCCTAGCAGTGAAGCATTCAATAGGTTGATCTGGAGGGATGGGCCCAGCAGAGGCTGCCCAGGTCTGTGTCTCCCTAGTACACTGCAGTGGCCGGGAACACCTAGCCTGTGGATTCAAACAAACTGTAACAGACAAAGAGAAAAAAAAAAACTGGGCCTCCTACATATGCTTGTATGGAAGGAACAAAAAGTATGGGAAAAGGGAGCAAGGAGAAAGGGGCCTCAGTCCCCAATCCTGAGACACTGATCCAGGAAAGGTAAATGCAAAAGAGAATAAAGACAGAAAACATGCAATAGCAGATACGGCACCAATAGACATAAAGCGATATCTCCTGAGCCACATAGACAAGTTCAAAAATGAAGTATTTAATGAAATAAAGCAAGAAAAAAGTAGAATAGTTACAGAAATGCTAAGCACCACCCAAGAAAAAACAGATGGTGCAATGGAAGAAGAGAAAAAGGGGAGAATTGTTTGATGGAGAAAATAGAGAAAACCTAGAATACATGAAGCAGGTTCAAAGAGATTACCAGGAAACTAAAAACTCTATTGAAAGCTGGCATAACAGCTTGAAAGAAACTAAGGATAGATTATCAGAACTGGAGGGCAGATTTGTAAGGTGGGAGGATAAAATGAATAACTTCTTAAAAATAACAAGAAAACAAACAGCAATAATACAAAGGCTAGAAGATGATAAGAGGATCTATAACTTAAGAATTAAGAACCTAAAAGAAGAAGTAGTGACACAAACAAATGAACTGC